GAGAGAGAGAGAATTTTTAATATTTATTTTTTAGTTCTCGGCGGACACAACATCTTTGTTGGTATGTGGTGCTGAGGATCGAACCCGGGTCGCACGCATGCCAGGCGAGCGCGCTACCGCTTGAGCCACATCCCCAGCCCTCCACCACATTTTTAAAAGTTTAATCGAATCAAATTAACATACAAGAGGCTACACATATTTAAAATGTCCAATTTGAGACCAGCATGATGGCACACACCTGCAATTCCAGCTCCTTGGAAGGTGAGGCAGGAGGATCGCAAGTTCAAGTTCTCAAAACAAAAATAATAAAAAGGCGGTAGAGTATTTGCCTAGCATGCCCGAGTCACTGGGTTCAATCCCCAGCACTGCAAAAGAAAAACAGAAAGAGGGAGGGAGAAAGGGAGAGGGAGAGAGGCCAGGGGCTGGGGAGGGAGATTATTAGTAGATTAAAAGAAAAAACATACATGGGATGTTATTCTCCTATTGTCCAATTAGTAGGGTGTATGACATTGACTTCCTATGCTGTCATCCCTGGGTTAAATCTCCTTTGAATATAGTGTATAATTTTTTCTAATGTGCTATTAGATTCATTTTGCTAGTATTTTGTTGAGTATTTTTATGTCTATATTCATTGAGAATATTGGTCCATATTTTCTTTTTCTTTATTTCCTTCCTTTGTACTAAGGACTAAACTTTGAACTCAAGGGTGCTCTACCACTGAGCTACATCCTTAGCCCCCCCCCTTTTTTTTTTGTATCTTGAGACACAATCTCACGAAGTTCCCAGGCTGGCCTCCAACTTGTGATCCTCTGTCTCAGCCTCCAGAGTAGTTGCAATTATAGGTGTGTGCCACCATACCCAGTGCCCTGCTCCATTATTTCCTTTTTCCTGCAGGACTTAAATTCAGTTTGATTTTTTTTTTTTTTTTTTTTTTTGTAGTTGTAGATGGACAGCATGTCCTTATTTTATTTCTTTTTATCTGGTGCTGAGAATTGAACCCAGTGCTCTACCACTGAGCTACAGCCTCAGCCCTGATCTATTTTTTTTAGTTTCTTAAATAGTAATGTTGATTTGAGATCATTATGCTTTAACAGATATGAATTTCCCTCTGAGTACTGCTTTTACAATATCCCTTAAGTTTGGGGATGTTTTAAATTGGTCTTACAGTATTTTATAATTTTCCTAGTGGCTTCTTCTTTGACCCATTTGTTGTTGAGAGTGTATTTATTTTCTACAGATTTGCAAAATTTCCAGTTTTCCTTCTGCTATTGGCTTCTTCTTCTTCTTTCATTTCATTATAATCAGAGAAGATACTTTGTATAAATTTCAATCATTGTGAAAATTTATTGAGAATGTTTTTTAAAAATTTTTTTGTAGTTGTTGATGGACCTTTATTTTATTCATTTATTTATATTCGATGCTGAAAAACAAGCCAAGGGCCTCACACATGCTAGGCAAGCGCTCTACCACTGAACTACAACCCCAGCCCTGAGAATGCTTTTGTGGGCTAACACCTATGTTAACAAGGAATAGTGACCTTTAATTTTGTTTGTTTGTTTTCTGGGGTGGGGGATGGGGATTGAACACAGGGGCGCTCTACCCCTGAGTCATATTTCCAGCCCTTTTTATTTTGAAACAGGGTCTCACTAAATTGCAGAGTCTGGCTTTTAAACTTGTGATCATCCTGCCTCAGCCTCTGGTGTAGCTGGAATGACAGGAATGTGCCACTGTGCCCAGAGGGTCCTTTTTTTGAATGTTTCTTTGGCTTTCATATCAGGGCAATACTGAGTTAGAAAAAGTTAGGAAGGATTCCCTCCTCTCAAAATTTCTGAGAAAGACCAATGTTAATTCTCCTTTAGATATTTGGTAGAATTCACCAGTGAAGAAGACATCGAGACTGTTGGAAGATATATATATATATATATTTTTTTTTGCTTTGGTTGTTTTGTTGCAGTGCTGGGGATGAACCCGGAGCTCTACACTGGGCAACACCCCCAGGCCTATTATTTTTTACTTTGATACAGGGCCTCATTATAAATTGCTGAGACTGGCCTTGAACTTGTGATCCTCCTGTCTCATCCTCCCTAGTTACTGGGATTACAGGCATATGTCCGAGTCCCTGGCTGTTGGAAGTTTTTTTAGTATTAAGATTTTTGAGGGGAGTGAAGGGAGGTGTGGGGCTGTGGGGATGGCAAGGAAGGTGGAGTGACAGACATTGTTACCCTCTACACATGTATGCTTACACCACTGGAGTGACTGACTGCACCATGTGCAGCCAGAGGAAGGAGAAGCTGTGTGCCATCTGTGTACAGTGTGTCAAAATGCATTCTACTGTCATGTACAACTAATTAGAACAAATTTTTAAAAATTTTTTTAAAAAGAAGGTTCAGGGCTGGGGATGTGGCTCAAGCGGTAGCGCGCTCACCTGGCATGCGTGCGGCCCGGGTTCGATCCTCAGCACCACATACCAACAAAGATGTTGTGTACATTAAACAAGGATGAGAGGTGGGAGGGAAAGGGAGAGAGAAGGGAAATTGCATGGAAATGGAAGGAGACCCTCAGGGTTATACAAAATTACACACAAGAGGAAGTGAGGGGAAAGGGAAAAACAGTACAAGGGGGAGGAATGAATTACAGTAGAGGGCGTAGAGAGAGAAGAGGGGAGGGGAGGGGAGGGGGGATAGTAGAGGATAGGAAAGGCAGCAGAATACAACAGACATGAGTTTATCAATATGTAAAGCAATGAAGTCTAACTGATGTGATTCTGCAAGCTGTATACGGGGTAAAATGGGAGTTCATAACCCGCTTGAATCAAAATGTGAAATATGATATATCAAGAACTATGTAATGTTTTGAACAACCAACAATAAAAAATAAAAAAAAAACAAAGATGTTGTGTCCGCCAAGAACTAAAAAATAAATATTAAAAATTAAAAAAAAAAAAAAAAAAAAAGAAGGTTCAGAGGAGAAATGATTGGGTTATGGCCTTAACCTAGTCAGTGAATTCATCCCCTGACTGGGATTAACTGAGGGGTAACTGAAGTGGTAGGGTGTGGCTGGAGGCGGTGGGAACTGGGGTGTGGCTTTGGGTATATATTTGTACCTGGTGAGCAGATTCTGGCTCTGCAGCCCCATCACCACAGGAGCTGCTTCCCTCTGCCACACTCTTCGGCCATGAGGTCTGCTTCCCCTTGTGCCTGGAAGACTGGGGCCGCCTTCTGTGGACTAAGACCTCTGAAACCCTGAGCCCTGATATAAACTTTTCCTCCTCTAAAAAAAAAAAAAAAAAAGATTTTTGTGTATGTGGCCTGACTGACATGTTCTGGAGAACATATGTCTGGAGAATGTTCCATGTGCCCTCAAGAAGAACCCATGCTCTGCTGTTGTTGGGTGGAAGCTTCTATTTGTGATTGTTGGATCCAGTTGGTGTAGTGTTTTTCAAGTCCTCTATTTCCTTATTTATCCATCTGGATCTCCTAACCATTATTGAAAATGGGGTACTGAAGTCTCCAAAACTGTAATTGTGGAATTGTTTCTAAATATGTTCTCACTTGTATGTGAAATCTAAAAACATCAAATCATAGAAGCAGAGTATAGTACAGTCGTTATAAGAGGCTGGGATGTGGGGGATGGGGAGACGTTGGTCAAAGGGTATAAAGTTGCAGTCAGACAGGAGGAGTAAGTGGCCAGACTTAGCAACTCAGTGAGACCCTGTCTCAAAACAAAATTAAAAGAAGCCGGGTGCGGTGGCTCACACCTGTAATCCTCCTGGCTCAGGAGGCTGAGACAGGAGGATCACAAGTTCAAAGCCAGCCTCAGCAATAGCGAGGCACTAAGCAACTCAGTGAGACCCTGTCTCTAAATAAAATACAAAATAGGGCTGGGGATGTGGCTCAGTGTGCGAGTGCCCCGAGTTCAGTCCCTAGTACCAAAAATAAATTAATTAATTAATTTAATTAAAGGGCTGGGTGCAGTGGCACACCCAGTAACCCCAGCAGCTGGGAGGCTGAGACAGGAGGATGGGAAGTTCAAAGCCAGCCTCAGCAAAAGCAAGGCGCTAAGCAAGTCAATGAGACCCTGTCTCTAATAAATACAAAATAGGGCTGTGGATGTGGCTCTGTGGAAAAGTGCCCCCTGAGTTCAATCCCTGGTAACCCCCATCCCCCAAAATGGGCTGGGGATATAGTTTATTGGTAAAGTCCCTGGGTTCTAACTCCAGTACAGCAAAATCTTTTTTTTTTTTTTTGGGGGGGGGGTGATGCTGGGGATTGAACCCAGGGCCTTGTGCATTTGAGGCAAGCACTCTCCCAACTAACCTGTATCCCCAGCCCCAGCACAGCAAAATCATAATTATTACAATAAAAAAAAAATTTAAGGGCTGGGGTGTCACTCAATGGTAGAGCAATTGCCTACCTTGCATGATACCCTGGGTTTGATCTTCAGTACTGAAAAAAAAAAATGAAAAATAAGTAAATAAATAATGCTCCTATGAACATTCACATAGGTACATGTTGAGGACAAACATTTTCATTTTTTTTTTCTGGGAGTGAAACTGCTTATTTGTCATTAGATAGGTTCATGTATTTTTTTGTTTGTTTGTTTTTAGATAGGTTCATGTTTATAAAAAATTCCAAACAGATTTCCAAGAATATAGAGCAATTTCTCAGGCTGTGGCTGTGGCTCAGTGGTAGAGCACTTGCCTAGCGTGTGTAAGCACGGAGTTTGATTCTCAGCACCACATACAAATAAATGAATTTTTAAAAATAAAGGTTTATTAACATCTAAAAAATAAAAAAATAATAATAATAATTTCTCCCTTAACTTCTGTCAATATCTGTTTTATATATTTTTGGACCCTGTTTTTCAGCATGTATGTTTGCAATTTCTGCAACTTCTTGATGAACTGACCCTTTTATCAATATAAAATGTCCCCTGTAGTCTTTATTTTGTGACTCCTGCCTCAGCCTCCCAAGTAGCTGGGATCCCGGGTGTGCGCCCCATGCCCAGCTCTCTCCCCAGAGTACGGCTCCTTAAAGTTGTTCCGCAGCTCACTGGTGCCCTTTTCATATTTTTCTTTCTTCTTCCATCCCTTCCCTTCCTTTTCTTTATTTCTGCATTTTTTTCTCTGTTGTATTTATATTTGGATTTATTCTTGTTATGTGTCCAAGTTCATTTTCTTTTTTTCTATAATATTTTATCTACCAGGAATCCCACTCAGTAGACACTTTCAGTTGACTCTGTGGATTTCATCTCCAGTTCAGTTTGGATTTTTAAAATATATTCTGTGACTTCATACTTAACTCTTGGTATCTATAGAATGCAGTTATGATAATGTTTAATATCTTCTGCTAGGCCTAACATCTGTATTATCTGTTCTTGGTTCGTTTCAGTTGAATGGGTTTTTATTTTTATTATTTTCAATAGGGGTTGGTTGTGTTTTCCTGATCCTCTACAATATTTCTGGATTTTTTGTTTTTTAAGTAATGGATACAATACCTTTGCTTTATTTATTTAGTTAGTTAGTTAGTTACTGGGGAAAGAACTCAGGGCAGTCAACCACTGAGCCACATCCCCAGCCCTATTTTGTATTTTGTTTAGAGACAGGTTCTCACTGAGTTGCTTAGCGCCTCAACATTGCTGAGGCTGGCTTTGAACTCATGATCCTCCTGCCTCAGCTTCCTGAGCTGCTAGGATTACAGGCATGCATCACCAAGCCCAGTTTATTGGTTTATTTTTATGTGGAGCTGAGGATCGAACCCAGTGCTTCACATGCTAAGCAAGCAACCTACTACCAAGCCGCAACCCCAGCACACCTCTGGATATTTTTAACAGATGCCAGATATGATTAATTTACTTCTTAGAACTGAATGTTTTTGCATTCCTATACATCTTTTTTTTTGAATTTTTAATATTTATTTCTTAGTTCTCGGCGGACACAACATCTTTGTTGGTATGTGGTGCTGAGGATCGAACCCGGGCCGCACGCATGCCAGGTGAGCGCGCTACTGCTTGAGCCACATCCCCAGCCCACTATACATCTTTTTTGAGCTTTGTTCTGGAATTTAGTTAAGTCACTTGAAAACAGGTTGGTCTTTTCAGGTAGTGTTTTTATGATGTTTTCATGGGGTCTGGAGCAGGAGAACCCAAGGGTGAGAGAGGTGTTGGAGAAGGGGATGCACGAGTCCAGGCAATGACTGAAGCAGCACAGTTAGTCAGGGGAGCGTTGGGGACCTCGTCCCATCCTATCCCTACCCCTTTTTGAGGGGGCGGCTGCAAAAAGAAGACCTGTGGAATAGGACTGCTCTCTGGTTGCTCATGGGATACAAAGCCTCAGTTCAGGAGAAAATGGGCCTCACCTGCAGTGTGGGAGGAACAGCTGCCAGGAAGAGTGTCTGTCACCTGACACCCCATCCCACCATTTCCTGGATGATCAGACCATGTCATCACACTTCTCAGGATGTCAGCTTGCTCAGTTCTAAATGGAGTTGCTTAAGCTGCCCTGGGTAGCTTGCACAGGTGTCCTGTCCTAGAAGAGAGGGAAGTAAAACATGTTGAGTCTGACATGGAAGCTGGGCCATTTCCACATACAACATGAGCACTGGACTGACTCACAGAGGACTCTCAGGAAATGTGGCTGGAAGTCCCAAGGATGAGCACAAACCTGGGTATATGGGTAGACAAGAGGGCCTGGGTTCTCAAATTCATCACTTGCTCCCAAGTCCCTGCAAGACAAAGCCCTGGGTGGGTGATTCTCCTTCTTTCCAGACTCAAAAGCCTGAGAGCAGCAGGAGATTCTGCAAGCCCCTAGGCTCCTGGGTTTGTTTCATTCTTTCCCTCTACCCAATTCCCTGCCAGAGTCGGACAGTGGTGTCTGCAGGCAGGCTAGAGGTCAAAGTGCCCATCCGCCCAGTGGGTCTGCCTCTCTCAAAGACTTGTCCTCATTCAGCCTTGTCTGGGGCTTGAATAAACCTAGGACAGCTCAGACCAAGTCACTCACCATGTCCACTGCCAGGTAGCCAGTGGTGAGTGGTTCCCAGCACTTCACACCCACTCCTAAGGGTTCCCCTGGCAAGAATAGGGTGACACGGGCCATCCCTTATCCTCATTACCACCTGATGACCCAAGAGGGCTTCAGTCTGGTTTAGATGCCACAAACTTGATATTCTTTGGTGGTTCCCCCAACACCAAGCCTAGAATAATCTGATCACTTGTGATTTGGGGTGGAAGAGGAGGCTCTGGTTCAAAACTGAATGCATATATAAATTAGTTATAGGTATGTACAGGTATATATACACACATTTGAGGTAAATGTAGACTCAGGTGTTTGGGATTGAACCCATGGGCACTTCACCACCAGGCCACACTCCCCTTTTTTTCTATTTAATAGTTAGGGTCTCCCTAGATTGCTTAGGGCCTGGCTAAGTTGCTAAGGCTGGCTTTGAACTTGCCATCCTCCGGCCTCAGCCTTCTGAGTTGCTGGGATATTGACATTGGTACACTTCACCAGTCTTACTCAGRTTTCTCCAGTCTGTACCATCAGACGGTGAAAACTTTAACCCAAGATTCCTGAGCTGCCTGTGTCCCCTATGACACGGGAAGGAAAGAGAAGAACAAGAGGAATGTAACATTCAGGACACGGCCTATGAACTAGGCTCCTTTTCTGTATCATCCTTTAATCGTCACGACAGCCTGTTTCAGACACTAAGACTGGACACAGAAAGGGTGGGTGGGTGGACCTGGGTCCCGCCGCTGAGCAGGAAGTAACCCACGCCCCCGCCTCTACCCGCTGAGCACAGCCCAAGAGCCTGTCAACAAATGGAGGCCTTGTGGGCCRGGAGCAGGGTCCTGTCGTGAAGGGTCTGGGCTAGCACGTGGCGTGACACCAGGCCTGAGCTTCAACCAGAAGGGTGACAGCGACGGACGCCCGGCGTCGCCCCCAAGTTCCGACTCCAACTCTCGGGCACCGAGGCGCCCAACCCTGGCCCGCCCGCGGAAAGCGGGGAAACCACCCGCGCCGCCTGCAGCCCCGTGGTCTCCTCCCCCAGCTGCGCAGCCCTCGGCTGCCCCCTGCCGCCGCGGGGTGGACCCTGCACGCCCCGCTGTCCCCGCCTTCTCGCTGCCCACCCCCGCCTCCGGATTGGCTGCTCCGGAAGGCTCGGGCCGTTCGCCTTCCGCTACCGGATTGGCTGCGCCCCGGGGTGAGGCCCCGCCCACCTCCCCGGGTCCTTTGATCACGCGCCCGCCGGCTCTTCCGGGACCCGGGAGCCAACCCTGGGTGTTCCTGTCGGGGCTGCAGCGGCGGGAGGTAAGGCATGGCAGGGTTGGATGGGCTGCCGAGCGCAGGCACGGGTCCACACGTCAGGGTGCCCGGATTCCAAGATGCCGAGGCGCGGGGCGGCCCCTCCACGCTCCCCCAACACTCCACGCCCCCGGCCTGAGCCTCCCAGCACGGTGGGAACTACCTTCCGCCCGCCGCTGCTGGCCAGCATCCTAGGAGCGGCCTGATGCGCTCCGCATCCTGGCTTGCCTCCTCGGTCTGGGACGGCGGAGCCTGTCGCTAGGTATGGGCAAGCCTGATACCCCACGGATACGGGGCAGGGAGCTCTACCTTGCCCTCTGATAGAGACCCAGGCAAACATGGGTCAGGGACCTTGGACAATCTTGGTGCAGCTGCTCCAGGACGACCTTCTCGCTTCTGTCTATGGGGACTGACCCTCTCCACTTCGCCTGTCAACCCTGGCCAGGAGGGGAGGGACCTGGGCGGAGTCCCGGGTGGGGAACGGAGTGAGATGACATCATCTCGAAGATAAGGTCCAGCCCTATCCACTGTGCACATACTGGTACATGAGACTGAGTGGGGTGATAGGGGGTGTCCGGGTTCTTGTGACACCAGGGGTAAGAAGGACATAGAGCCTACGCATGGAGCCTGTAGCCTGAAGTGTGGGGACTGAACCAGAACTGAGGCAGGCCCCTTCAGATGCTCCCATCTCACCTCTAGGTGCAGTCCACCCCTCCTGTTTACCTGATCTCCATTTTGCTCCACTGGATGGGTGCTAACAGCCCAATGTCCAGGTCTGTGACAGAACCTGGAAACCTGCACCTATCCTTTCCCCAACAATTGAGACTCCCAAATGTTCATCCAGCATCTGAGCTGGGCTCCACCCTGACTTAGGGATAGGAGCTGGACAGGAAACAGATCCTGGATCTGGACCTTCCTTTGGTGCCCTTTCCACCCAGGATTGGCCAAGAGTCATTGGAGGATTACACACAGTGTGTTTTTGTAGAGGATGCCTCATCCCAGGGTTTGACCTGGGGCGTTTTTGCAGATCTTGGGCTCTGGGGGAGGGGCTGGGAATTTGGATGTCACTGTAGGAGCAATTGATAACCTCCCTTCCTCCTCCCCAGGGAGCCCTGTGGAGGCACCCTCCCGAGGCACCACTGCCCATGCTGACCACCCAGCCCTCCTGCTGCTGATGTCATGAGTAACACCACAGTGCCCAATGCTCCCCAGGCCAACAGTGACTCCATGGTGGGCTATGTGTTGGGGCCTTTCTTCCTCATCACCCTGGTCGGGGTGGTGGTGGCTGTGGTAAGGAGCCCCCCACATGCACACATAGACACACCTGTGCCCAAGTAGGGGCTGGGTGGGCCTGGTCAGGTGCACACAGCATCTTAGCTGTCCTTCTGAGGGAGTGAAGGGTGTGGAGTTGGGCCTTCCTGGGCTCAGCAGCCTCCACAGTGCTGTGTCTCTGTTACAGGTAATGTATGTGCAGAAGAAAAAGCGGTGAGTGTCCCCACCCCAGTCTGATATTTCTTCCCATAGGATCTGAGTTGTCTGTGTGAGTGATAAAAACGCCCTTGGCCAGCCTGAACCAAGCCTGAAAGTCTGTTCTCCTTGCCTCATACAACTCACCAGGGAGAGGCCCCTTTGCAGCCACATTGTGTCCAGGACACCCACTTAAGTGCCCTGGCTGGGGGAGGGGGAGTGGCCCCAGGCAGTCAGGTATTTGATGGGGGTGAAGGTGGGGCTTGGGCTGAGCCCCTGCCCTGTTCTCCAGGGTGGACCGGCTCCGCCATCACCTGCTACCCATGTACAGCTATGACCCTGCTGAGGAGCTGCACGAGGCTGAGCAGGAGCTCCTCTCTGATGTGGGAGACCCCAAGGTGAGCACTCTTGGGCAGGGGAAATCAGGTGGAGATGAGGGAGCAATCTTCTTCCTCATACTCCTGAAACCAGACCCCATCTTGCCCTAGGCCTCCCCAGTGGGGCACCTCCTCCAAGTGACAGCCCTCAGTGTCTCCCCCCACAGGTTGTGCATGGCTGGCAGAGTGGCTACCAGCACAAGCGGATGCCCTTGCTTGATGTCAAGACATGACCTGGTTCCAGGCCCTGACCTCCAACCTTGAGGGTCCTGCAGGCTCCTGTGTCTTCACCCCACCCCACCCCTCCATCATCTTGCTCCCTTTAGACCCTCAGCCCTTTGTGGGCTGACCCCACCCACCCCCAGGCACTGACAGATCTCATTTTGGGGGTACAGTGGCTGGGAACAGCTTTGCTTTCTCTAACCTGCCTGAACTGGGCCCTGGCACAAACCCCCAGGAGGGATTTGGAATTGTTTCCATGGTTACAGGACCCACATGTATAGTATTCAGTATATATATTTTGTAAATAAAATGTTTTGTGGCTAGGGGTGTGGTTGACTTGACTTCATGAAGGGTTTAAATTACYTCTGCAGCTCCTTTCATTGCCATTTCTTCTCCCAGAAAAGGCCTAAGGGCAGAGAGCCCTCCCAAGTACCAACTTTGCTTCTCACCCCTCTACCCTGGCTACAGGGGCACACATTACAGAATGACTCTAGTCCAGAAAAGGATATTTTTTTATTCAAGTAACTGCAAATAGGAAACCAGAGGGGAGCCCCAGGCTGGGACAAATAATGGCCAACCTCTCCCCAACAGAACAAGGGGAGAAGGTGGCCCCTACACCCTTCACGGTCAACACAGACCCCCCTCCTCACTCTGCTGCAGCATCCTAGGGGCAGGACCCCACCTTCCCTGGGACTGGGGTAGTAGGTAACCCAGCCTGCTGCACCCCAGTGCCCCTTCCCCCTGAGGAACACCTTGGGGAGGGGAATATGGTCGGAACAGGGGGGAGGGCATGGGGATGAGCGTCTGGCGCTGGTAGCAGCAGGTGACTGATGTCTAAGAATGAAACATTGAACAAAAACCAACACAACTGTCCAGAGGTAGTTTGTGAACAGAGGAAAAGATGGAACCAGAACCATGGGGGTTGGGAAGGAGGGGGAGGCAGCGTGGGCAGGGCAGGCTCCTTGTTGATAGTGCCCCCTCATAGGAAGGTCAACAGCTGAGAGTGGAAGCAGAGGATGGGCAAGTAGCCCCTGGCGTGCCTTGGGTGGCTGCCACAGGGAACCTGGGCAGTAGATGACCTATCTCCACCCCTGCACTATATACTCAGATCCCAGGGGGAGAACAAGGTGGTAGGGCCTGTGATAGAGGACAGGGGCTCCAACTCCTGCCCCCTTTCCCATACCCCAGAGGGGCTGTCCAACCTAATGCAGGGCTCAGGTGGGGGAAGAGAGTGGGGAGTTCCACCTGATAAGTTTGGCTGGGGGCTCCCTGGGGGCTCAGCACCCCTTCCCCATTGGCTACACCTACTAGTGCAGGTCCAGCAGGGGGGCATGTCAGAATGAGATGGGGTTTGGACCCCTTAAGGCCAGGGGAGCCCTCCTAGGCCCCTCTATGGGAAGCCAGAAGGAACAGTGGAGCAGAGAAGGGGCCCTCAAACCAAGAGCCCAGATAGCAATGTCCCCACCAAGGGGGTAAGGACTAGCAGGCGCAGGGTGCGGCTAAGTGGGAAGTTAGCCTTGTCCAGGAGGGCAAGTGTGTGCGCGTGGGGGCGGGGTAGGAAGGGTTGCTGGGGACTGAGGCTAGAGGAAAACTGCTTCCCATGGGACCACAGGGGCCCTGCAGCGGCTGGTGTGCTGTGTAGTGTGCGGTGGGGAGGGCGCGGGGGTGGCGGGCCAGAGGTGTCAGTGGGCCTGGGGGAAGGGGAGGGCGGTGGGAGCGGAGTGAAGCTGTCCAGTCCCAGAAGAAAGCTGCTGCTCCTTGGGGAGGGAGCAGGCGGCACGGGCGGTCACTGCTCCTCTTCAGAGGACTCCTGCGAGATGCCCTCCTCTTCCTCCTTCTCCTGCAGAGGTGGGCAGAGCAGCTCTGGGTCTGGCCCCCTCCTCTATCCCAGAGGCCGTCCCCACCCCTCCTTGCACTCCCAGGCTCTCCAGAAGGGGGATGAGTCAGGGCTGAGTGTGTGGGTGACTCAGCAACCTCCAGCCCTGGGTTTCATTCATAAAAATGAAGAATTTAAAAGGGGGAAAAAAACACACACACACATGCTGCTCACACACAGCCAAAGCCAGGCCCCTCGGCCCAGGGGAGGGCAGGGCTCCGCAGAGGAAGTGACTGGCTCTCTCCAGGAGGGAGAGGAATCAGGAAGGGGCAGCAGAGGGCAAGCCCTGGGGTGGGCGCAGAGAAACAAGATGGCCTTGGCCCACAGGGCAGGCTCTGAACTGTGGAGCTGGGCCTGAGTCCTGAGTGGCCAAAGGCTGACCCCAGCCCAGGGTGGGGAGGAAGGGGAAACGCACACTGCCTGGGCTCACTCACTGGGCGGGAATGCTGGGACACCACAGGGCCCGCAGCCCCTGTGCCAGGCACAGACTCCAAAACAACTTGTTTCCTGTTACTCACTCCTGGGGCCTGGCCAGAGTGCCCCCTAAGCCTCCCCCACCCCATGGCCCAGCTCTAGCAATGAGTGCCTTGGGAGTGGAGGGGGCAGGTGAAGGGTAGGAAAGGGCAAGGAGCAGAGGAGACTGTGCACTCCTCAGGACAGCCTGCCACCAGCTACCTGGGAGCCCAGAAATGAATGGCGCCTCCCGATGGGGGAGGTGGGGTCACAGTATAAGTCCCAACCAGCCTGGAACTAGCAGGGCTGAGCTGAGCTGCTTTGCCATTTTTGCTCTTTCCAAGAAGATCCTAGTTGCCCTACCCCCCCACACACACAGCTTCCCTTGAGCATCAACTAGATAACTCCCAAAGTCCATGCTAGGAACAGAGGGGCTGCAGAATGTGTGGGTGACCACTCCTCATGGGCACAGTCCTATGAAAACCCTGGCAAACCCCTTCCCTTCTCTGGACCCATGTGGACATGTGTCATGTCCTAGCATTCCTGTTGCTGCAGGTCAGGGACAAGAGTCTGTGCACAGAACTAGACACTGAATTCTTAACCCCCACCCCAAAATGAGCCACAGAAGCAAGAACACCTACCAGTTTCTTAGGTCTGCCCCTGGGTTTCCTCCCTGGAGCTGTGGTGGTTTTCTGGAGGGTCAGAGAAAATATCCCGTAAGTAAAAAAATGCTAGGAAGCCCCCACTCAGTGCCCAGTGCCCATTAGTGAGGAGAGGAAAGGCAGGTACAGAACTACCCACTGTGCTCAGGGCAACCCAGGACTCACCCCAAAGGCCCACCCAAGTCCAGCTGCTGATGACTGGCCAGCCACACTTGCCCCCCACCCAACATACACACACGCCCCCTGCCCCCTCCTCCACCTGTGACTCAGAGGATATGAGTCGTGTCTCAGAAAAAATAAAACACAAAACAACCCTTCTGAAAGGCTCATGCCACTGGGAATCTGGCCTTCCCTGCTTGTCCCCACCTCTCTGGGCTCCAGGGACCCCAAGGGTGAAGGAGACATTCTCGGCCTGGGGCTGGGAGAAGCCCTTTACTCTCCCCATATCGCCACCTTTCTCCAGACTGGAAAGCTGCCCAAACTTCCGACTTGATTTCCCCACCATCAGTGATGGGGCCAAGGCCACAGAAGAGACCTCAGTCATGACCCTGCTTCCCATCTTAGCAAAGACCCACCACCCACCATGTACCAGGATGGGGTGGGGTGAAGAATCAGGACAAGCAGTCTCTCCCCAGCCTCCCTACAGATGTGCCCATGAAAAACCAGAGGGGCCTCTCTCCAGTGGCCCAGGTGGGGCCATTTCCCCTCAAGCCTCACCCGGGTCTTGGCAGCGCCCTTGTTTTTGCTCCCCTTTGGTCGGCCCCGAGGTCTCTTGGGTGTTGGCACTTCACTGGGTTCCTTCTGCAGAGATAGAAGGAGGCAGTCAGGGTCATAGCCACCACCTGTCTGTCCAAGCCCCTTCAGAAGACAGCCCTGTGCCCCACCCAGCAGGGTTAAGTCAGCAAGAAAATTCCTGACCCAGTCAAACAGAACCAAGGCAGGAGGCTGGCAGGAGGCTAGCAGGAGGCCAGCCCTTCAGGATTCAGGGCCGCAATGTGACCATTTTTCAAAGCCCTCCACCCCCCACCACCACCACTTTCTTCCCTGGAGGTTTCTGGGACAATGAAATGACAAGAAGCCAGAAGACCTCTGGGAAAGATGTCATGGGCAGGAAGAAACTCTTAGATGGTCCTGCCCCTGATCTTGGGCAAAACACTTAATGTTGGAGCCTCAGCCTCCACCCTACACCCAAATCAATGAGGCAAATATTTGGCACTGGCCTTGATCATTATCACCTTTCTCCCATGAGACATGCTGAAAACTGGGGGGACTCCTAGAAAAGAGAAATTATGCCTAGACTCCAGAGATCCCTACCACTGTTGCTGAATTTTAAAAGCCCAAGACAAAATAAAAAGCTTCTGCATAACACATAGAAGGGAGCTGGGGATGTGGCTCAAGCGGTAGCACGGCATGCATGCGGCCCGGGGTTCGATCCTCAGCACCACATACAAAACAAAGATGTTGTGTCCGCCGAAAACTAAAAAATAAAGATTGAAATTCTCTCTCTCTACCTATCTATCTCTCTCCCCTCTCTATCTAAAAAAACAAACAAACAAACAAAAAAAACAAAAACACATAGAAGGACACTCTTGGGCTGGGGATGTGGCTCAAGCGGTAGCGCACTTGCCTGGCATGCGTGTGGCCCAGGTTTGATCCTTAGCACCACATACAAACAAAGATGTTGTGTCCGCCAAAGACTAAAAATAAATATTAAAATTCTCTTTCTCTCTCTTTCAAAAAAAAAAAAAAGGAAGGACACTCTTAGGGGCAGCTCCAGGGGCCCTTTATAAGCATGGCCCTGTAACCCCGACCTCTGCCAAAAGGTGGAATAAGAGAGGCAAAGGGGGCTGGGCTAAGAGGATGAGTCCAGCACCCCGTCCTGAAGGTGCTGAATTCCACCACACAACCAAGACTCTCTCTCTTTGGGTACCAGGGATTGAACTCAGGGGCACTCTGCCACTGAGCCACATCCCCAGCCCTATTTTGTATTTTACTTAGAGATAGGGTCTCACTGAGTTGCTCAGTACCTCCTTGTTGCTAACTCAGGCTGGCTTTGAACTCTCGATCCTCCTGTCTCAGCCTCCTGAGCCACTGGGACTATAGGCGTGCCACTGCACCCAGCAGACTCTTTCTTAATTCATAGACTCCTGAGACTCCCTGGCTACAGCTGGGAAGACCTGCAGGTGTAACAACCTGCCTCGTGCTGAAGGGACAAAGCCAACTTCAATTCTTCTGATCCTCAGGAAGAGGAAGTAACTAGGCTTCAACAACCATCCCTTGCTTGGGAGACAGCTTCCTTCCTGTGACAAGATCTCTGCCACATTAACAGGTGGCCACATTCCCTAGGGTGCCTAACACTGCCAGAGCAATCACCCCACCCCACTATGGGACATTATAGGGTTACTGCCACTAATTACCCAACACCTTCAACTTCTTGGGCCTCATTAATGTTTACAGAGCCAGGGACAAAGCCCACCTGAGGACTACTTAAAGTGTGGCCTGCGAATAGGTGCTGGCCCAGGAATTCATTATGGGCCTGAGATAGACAAAAATTGACAGTGTATAGAAACTTGTACAGCAAATTGACAGAGTAATCTTATATGCACTGAATCTTATGATTAAAACCCTGGGAAATAAATCACTGACCTCTGTGTAGACCACTGGGTTATTTCTGGCCTGGATTTCTGGCACTGGCTTTAAAACCCACTTTACCTTGAGTTCTTCAGGCCCCAGGACACTCTCCTAGGATGTCTGAAGGATCTGATTATACAGTTGTCATACAAGTTATGAGCACACGTGGGTGTGGGGATGACACACAGACATGCAGGCATGATTCTGGACCCTTCCATGCCATGTCCACACTTACAGAGCCACCAAGCATCTCCCTAGCCCCAAAGGGTAAATCGAGGCAAAGTTTTGGACACCCACCTGGCTCCCTACCAGCGCTGTCCCGGGACTCACCGGAGGCTGCTTGCGCGGCCTGCCCCGGCCTCGCTTCTCAGTTCCATCCTTTTCCTGCTTGGAGGCCAAGGGCTGGCTGGACTTTGAGCTTGACTCACTCATCTTCCTTCTCTATGGAGCAGGTGAAGAGCAAGGCTGGGATGCTGGAGACAGAAAAAGTAAATCTTAAACAAAACATCACGCTTCAGCCATCTTCTACCTCTCACCACCCCCACCCTGGGGCACACTGCAGGAACTGCCTGCTTCCAGAGGACCCCAGGACTCCGACGCTACCCTAGACAGAAGGTGCTGCCCACCCCATACATGCTACCAAGGAGTGGAGGGGTGGAGCAGTGCCGTTGGTTCTAATCAGCTCCTTATCTCTTTTTAGAAGGGTTCTTTGTTGTCCTGCAGCCACAGAGGTGGTGCCATGAGGTGCTGCCAGCCCAGACCTGGTAAGGCAGCCCAAGGACAAAGGTGAGGGGAAAATGGGATCCCACAAACTGCCAAGGACCCCTCCCTCTTGTCAGCAGCTGCTGCTCTCTCTTGTGAAAACCATGCCTAGGCAGTTCTGAGGGGAGTCAAAAGTCAAGTGGAAAAAAAGAAACCGTGGTATCTGCAGCCATGAATGTCATCCCCCTGCCCCTGCACTGACACTGCCTATCTGGCAAGGTCCCAAGCCTGAGGACCAGATGCTAAGAGTGTGGGGATGTCCACCAGCCAGTTCTCTCTGCTCTCTCCCAGGGCAAACTCTAAAGGATTCAGAGATGGATACAACTGAGGGAGAGAGGATTGGCTGAATGTGCAGAGGGTGAGGGAAAGGAGCTGGCCCACCTGGAGACAGATGGGGCTCACTTACAGGAGGGGTGGGACTCCAGAATGGACCCTTCCTAGGAGACCTATGGCTCTACCAACCTGTTAGGGGTGGGCACAAATGGCCCCACTAATGAAAGTCTGCCCATCTGTAAGATGGGGACAAGGCAGCAACCGCCTCAACACCCTACCCCCCAGATCTTTCCAGACTGTTGAGGCTGAACCAGGCAGTATTTAAGGAGACTTGGATGAAAAGACATCTTCACTCATCACAGTGAGAACTAAACTATTTGAAGATGTTTCTTTCCTCTTTTCAGATTTTGAGGCAATTTCCAATTTTAACCCAATGACAAGAAAACATTTTTGGAAACTTGATTTTAGAAGGGCTCCGACCCCCATTCTCAAGCCCTTAGAGACCCTCCAGATGGCAGGACTTTGGTAATCGTTTTATTTTACAATATTTCAGACTTGGAGACCCTTTTAAACAGGGTGGTTGGTGATTTATCCTGCTCCATCATTAGTGGCTTGCTCTGCTCTGTAATTACAGGCAGTGATTAGGATCTCACATTACACCACAGGTCCCCCCTCAAACTAAACATCAAAATTAATCAGCTAAATGAGTGCTGACCTCACATGAGGTCTGCCTCAGGCCCTCTCAGAGGGGGTTCAGGTGGGGAACCAGTCTCTCTGGAAGCTCTCATGCTGTTGGTTTCTCCACCCACCTCTGACTACAAGGGACCCCTTAATTCACCCACTCCCGCCTTTCAGTTAGGTCCCCACTGAATGAAGGAGGCAGGCTCTGTCTAATGAGGCCAAGGAAGGCTTGTCTTTTCCACCTGTTTCTGAACATCAGGGAGGCCTGGCTTGGAGAAGCCACATTTCGGGCCCAATACCAATCCCTGTTTGTAATAAGCCCTTCTGAGCCTTAAACCTATCTCCTCCATACACCGTGCAGTGTGTGTGGCCCTTAAATGCTTTAGAATTCTGCAAAAATAATTCAGAAAAATTCTGGCAGCCCCATTATTTTCCAGGAAAAAAAAAAGTGGCCCAGAGAAGCCCGATAAGTGGCCCAAGGTCACACAGCAAGTTGGCGAGAAGGATGGAGTAGGTTCTCGGTGGCCCTTCCAGTCCGCCACTTTGCAAACGGCCTAGGAGCTAGTTAAAACTCGATCGCCCCCAGCTCCAGACCGACCCTGGGTGACTCTGCTAGTGTCTGCAGCCGGCCTACAACCGCCGGCCAGCCGGACTAGGAGCTAGGGCGCGCGGGGGGAGGGGCGCAGGCCGTTCCTGCAGGCGCGGGAAACCAGCGCACCCCGACCGCATGCACCGCCACGCGGGTGCACCCGGCCCCACTTCCTGCCAGAGGGGGCACCCAAGCCCGCCTTGGGGCAGGAAACCTGGCGCGCGCTAGAGGAAGAAAACCCCCTCCCTCCCTACCTTTCCCGAAAAATAAAACCCCAGAAAAAAAAAAACAGAAACGGGGAGTCAAAGGGACTAGTTCCAACAGAGCCCAGCAAAGCAGAGAAACCAGTTTGTGGGGGCGGAGGGCCCTGGGGGCTGAAGAGGCGCGGGCCGGGCCAGAGGTGGGGTCGGGGTGAAGCCCCAAGCCCAGGCCCGCGATCCGGCCTCATCTGCGGAGCGGCCCGGGGGAGAAAGGCCGAAAAAGCAGAGCCGAATCTCGGGGCTCCCGCCCCTCCCCCTCACTTCGAGAACTTCCCCAGGCTGCGGGGGGCGCTCGACCCCCGGCTCGCCCACTGCGCCGCAGCCCGTGCCTCTCCCCGCCCCCCACCCGGCCAGGGCTCGGGCGGGAGCGGCGGCCGCGCGAGGTGCACCGGGCTCCGCTGGGTGCACAACTCGCGCCCGCTGCAGCCGCGCGCCCCCCTCCCCCACCGCGCGCCTTTCCCGGGTCCCCGCCCCCCGCAGGGCGCCCGAGGCACTGGGGACCCGGTGCGGGCGTTCTCCCCGCGCCGCCGGGCCCCGCCGCCCGCCCCCGCGCCGCGCGGCCCTCCCCGCCGGCGGATCGCGCCGCCCGGGCCTGGGAATAAAGCCGGCGGCGCGCGCTGCAGCCCCGGGCGGCTCGCAGGAGGGGCGGCGTGCGGGCGGGGGCGCGGGCGCCCCCCTCGGCCGCCGCCGCCGCGGGCCCCGGGGACGACTCACCGCGAGCTCGGCTGCCGGCCTGCGGTGCGCGCTCCGGGCTGCCGGGAGCGACGGTGCTGGGCGCTGAGGACCGGCCTGGCTCCGCCGCCGCCGCCGCTGCTAGCAAATGCGGATCTGAAACCGGGAGAGAGGGCAGAGGCGCTCAGAGACCGCCGCCGCCGCGTGCTCGCCGCCAAGGCCCCCGCGGGGTATTTATATGTCACATCCAGGCGGGGGGACAAAAATATCCCCCCTCCCCCAGAGGATGGCGAGGGGCAGGAAGCTGGGCACGGCCCGTGCGCGGCCTCAATAAATAAATAATTTAATTAAATTATAGATATAAAAAAAAGAAGCCACCGGAGCGGCCGCGAACTCACGCCTTCTTGGAGCCGCGCCAGCGCCAGAAATAGCCCCGGCTCGGAGTCCCAATTAGAGGAGCGCAGCCCCGGCTCAGGGGAGCTTAAAAAAGAGCGACCCAGGGGCAGGGGGGACGGGCCCGCCCGCGCCAGCCGTGTCACTGGGGTGGGCGGGGCCATGCAAATGAGCCCGGGGATTTAAAAGGGCGGCCGCCCGCCAGCCGCCGCCGCGCACGGGTGGGTGATGTCCGTGGGCCGGACTGTGCGGGAGGCCTGGGCCGGCAGCCCGAGTCCACGGCCCACTCCCACAGTCCCGGGCGAGGAAATACGGGAGCGGGCGCCGAGGAGTCTCGAAGGAGCTTTTCTCGTGGGTGGGGGTTGACGGGCGCGTGCTTCCTGCCTGGAATGGGGTCCCGGGTCAGTCACATCTGGGGTCCTTCCGGGCGTGTGGGCCCGACCCCCGCAGGGCGCGTGGGGGTGGGCGGACCCTCCCCCCTGCGGGGGTCCACGCGGGCGGAGCGGGTGGAGATACGCGCGCCAGTTGGAGAATTCCGCGGCCTACTCGCCGCCCCTTTCGCCCAGATCGACGGCTTGTAGATTTCCCTTGGGCGGACAGGTGTCAGCATGTGCGTTTCGGCGTCAACCCGCGTGTGGTTGGCGGGTGAAATACAAGTCTTGTGAAATTCCTACGTGAAACTTGGGAAATGCTAAGTGTTTAAATTTATTAACGGCCGCAAGTGAGCCGTAATCAAGGTGCAGCCTTCAAGCGAAACAAACGATTGGCCCTTGAGCAGGTAGCCCAGAGGGAGGAGTTACCCTTCTAGGTGACCTGGATGGGGTTCTGGAGACACGCGGTCCCACTTCGGACCCGGATCCCCTCCTCGGCGACTTCTTTAAAAAGTGAAGGGCGGGTCAGAGGCCGCCTGGAAGCGCTTTGAGGGCAGGGGCTGAGTTGACGCACACCATATCCGCCGGGCTTGGCCCGCTTGGCGCCTGGTTCAACAAAGACTTGTTGCACGGAGCGAGGAGGAAACCAAAGTGGGAAGATGGCGGGGAGGGCGGTGGGGGAAGAAGGCGCAGCCGGAGAGGCGCGCCCTGCAGGCCGGCCCGGGCCCTCCCGGTGCACCTCCCTGCGCCTGGTCCCCGAGGCGGCCTTCCACACCTCCTGTGATGCAGGGAATAGCAATGCGGCCCAGTGACACAGGGCTGTGACTCATGTTTTTCAGGACTCCCCTTCTTCCTCCCCGGTCAGCAGAGGCCCTGGTCCAGCCCCCTCCTCAGGGGCGAGCCGGTGGAGGGGGGACGCCAGGCAAACCCAGCGCCCGGCGTGGAGGCGGGGTGGGGAACTCGAGGGGCCGGGCCTCCAAGTTTCAGGAATGCCTCAGGAATGTTTCCGGTGGGGGTGGGGAGCGGGGCGGGCAGCCGGGCCCAGCCCCCACCGGGCCGGCGGGATGGCGCTCTGGGCTCGGGGCAGCACGTGCTCGGCCGGTGGGGGCGGGGCGCGGGCTCCCGGGCGGGAAGGCGCTGGAGGCCCAGAGTGGGTTCAAAGGGGAGGGCGCGGGCCTGGGGCGGCCGGCCTCCGCGCGCTGCTCCCGCCCCACGCCCAGGTGAAAGGCAGTTCCTGAGGAGACCTGGGGCCGGCCCTGGAGGGAGAGGAAGTCACCGAAGGGCGGCCTGCGAGGAGGGGAGAGGAGGGCGGTGGGGGAGGGGCGGCTGCCCCTTTGTCTGGAGCGCTGGGGGTGGGGCGGGGTGGAAGCGTGCTGCTCCTTCCATCTTTGTGCCCCGCGCGCCGAGCGCGCGCTTAGTAGGCCGCGAGCGGAGTTAGCTGGAGGGCTCTCAAGTTGCGAGCCGCGGCACCTTTGCAGGATTGAGTGGAAAAGCGAACCTTCCGCCCCTGCCACACCCTGTCCCAGGTCGCAGGTCCTAGGCAGCAACCCGGGCGCCCAGGTGCGGGCCCGAGCATGTGCCCCAGCGCCGGCCGCCCTTCGACAGAGCCCTCCCTGAGGCCGCGCAGGCTCCTAGGCCGGGGCTCTGGGGCTGGCGGCCGCCTGGGTTTCGTCAGCCCCTTTCTGCAGATGCTGCTGACCGCGGGGCAGCCTCCTATCCCGGCGGGACGTGTGGCCCTCCCCAGGAGGAGCTTGGGCAGGAGGAAGGGTCCTCCGACCCCAGTGGGCTGTGGGAAAGCTTGGCCAACTTCTGGGCCCGCTTCTAGCCAGCCGACGTGGTCCTGTTTTTCCCAGTCTTGTTTTCCCCTCGTCCTGATTTTGCTCACCGACTTGTTTTCTACCTTGCATTGTGTGTATTTTTGTAAGCCACCTCAAACCCTCTCTGGAAGGAGGCGCAGGTATAAATAAATTCGTAGGCAAATAAATATAGTAGCTTGTTCCTCTCCAGGATTACCCACACCCTTGAAATCCAAATAACTCTACCCACTGACCCCCACCTTCAGGCTTTCTGGATGCAAATGCCCCGGATTCACTTCCTTTCCTTACTTTCCTCTTGAACAGAAGGGTGAGTGGTGGGGGTAAAAAGATGAATGAGTCCCAGCGGATTTCCCGAATTTCCCGAGTAGAGAAATCAGGACCAGGAATACACCAAGAAAAAGCTGCATAACAACCCAGGAACTGCCATGAGGCTGAAAACATTGAGTGACTACTGTGTAACCAGGAGCTAGTCCCAACTCTTGGGGTACAGCCAATGAATAAAGCAAAGTCCTCTGTATTTTTGAAACTTGAAAAGTCGGGGAGGCAGATGCTTAAAGAAAGAGGGTTGGAGCTCCAAAAGGTAGAAAAAGATGGGCTTGAGCAGGCCTTCCTAGGATTTGGATGGCTGGGGTGGGAAGGGAGAGGGAGCTGTTCCAGGCCTGGGACATCAGCTGGTTGGCCAAGGCCTGAGGGGTCCCAGAGGAGTTGCCATCAGAACCATTCTTCTCCCAGGAAACATTTTCCAGTGATCGGAGTTGACTTACACATTACCCTCAAGGACAGCCTGGCGAACTAACAAGAATGTGTGGGGAATGGGGAGGGAGTTCAGGTCAGCTTTATTTCAGGACAGCTGAGGTAGCTCATTTTTTAGACTACATGGGAGGGCAGGTGCAGAGGTTCTGTTTAATAGTGTGGCTAGGTGGTAAGGTGTGTTGGTGTTCTAGGGGTCCAGGTCAACGGGAAGTAGATGGGAAGGGTGGGGGAGGGGAGAGTTAGGTATCCATCTAACCTGTTGTCCAAATCAGTAAAGTAAAAAGTAAAACTTTGGTGAAATCTATACAAGCAGAAAACACTCATAAGTGTTGAACTTGATGTAGTTTTACAAAGTGAACCCTTTTGTGTCACTAGCACCCAGATCAAGAAATAGGTCTGTGGCCCCTGCATGTTACCATTCTCACAGCCGTGTAAGTCCCCATGGGGATGGAGCCAGGCACTGTGTACTTTCCTCAGTTTCCTTTGTTCAGCGTTGCATCTGTGAAATTCATCCAATCCATTGCATGTGGCTTCATAATGCACATCCTCATGACTGCATAGTTACATGGTGTGAATGTTCCACAACTTATGTATGCATTCTGTTGAAGGGCATTTGGATAATTTCTGGTTTGAGGCTATTGGAAATAGTGCTGCAATGAGTGTTCTAGAATATTCCTGGTGAGTAGATGTGCAAATTTCTGTTGGGTACATGCCTAGGAGAGGAGTTACTGGATCACAGGATATGCATGCTCAGCTTTAGCAGACAAGCAAGACACTTCAGAGTGAAAGGAGCACTATTAATAGTTAGGAGCAGACAACGGGCATAAACTTGATCTGGCCCATAGCAACTGGGATTGACCCAAGCAAGCCAAGAGGTAGGGTCACCCTGGCACACAGTGTTTGACCACTCTTCTGGAGAGCCACCCAGCTACTAGTGCATCTGGTCATCTGGCAGGATCAGGCCTCCAGGCCCTGCTGACCACAAGCTCTGCTGCCAGGAAGCCTGGCAGGCCTGGAGTGGGAGGAGGGCCTCTTCGGGTTCCAACTTTCGAGGGAAAAACTCTCAAGTAAAGGAGGGCCCGAAGCAGGCACCTTTCTGCTTCCCTGATGTGAGCTGGCCACCCACCCTGCACTGCCCAGGTCACCGTGGGTTTTATCATTTTTCCTCTTCAGGGCTGGATCTCCAGGGAAACAACAGTTTTTATCCAACCTCAGGGGGGAAAAAAAACTGAAGGTGGAGTTTGCAAAAGCATAACATTCTCCCAGATTCCTCAACACCCTTACCATCAGGAATGCTAGTGCCTGTTTTACGGGTGTTAAAACTCTAGGGCTAGCTGGGCACGGTGGCACACACCTATAATCCCAGCGGCTCAGGAGGCTGAGACAGGAGGATCGTGAATTCAAAGCCAGCCTCAGCAACAGCAAGGTGCTAAGCAACTCAATGAGACCTTGTCCCTAAATAAAATACAAAGTCGGGCTGGGGATGTGGCTCAGCAGAGTGCTCCTGAGCTCACTCCCTGGTATAAAAAGAAAACAACCTCAAGGCTGAGAATGTGGCTCAGTGGTAGAGTGCTTGTCTGGCATGTGCAAGACCCTGGGTAGCAGAGCCAGGATGCAAACAAACAAAAGGGACAGCTGAGTCTTGGGTAGTTAAGTAGCTTAGGATTCTGCCTCTTCCAGTCCCTCTACTCCCAGGCTGGGTGGTTTGTTGCCTTCTCCCAGCCTGACCAGATTGATCTGGTGTGTGGCTTTGAATGGAGTAGCTACATTCCTGTCCTCAAGGGGTTTCCTCTGGGGTGGGGGTAGACAAGAACATGGACAATTTCACCAGTGCAATGTAACTGTAAGGGGGTCTGGGGAAGCATAGAGCAGGGACCCAGGACATGTTGCAGGAGGCCCAAGAAGCAGGCAGGTAGGAACAGCAGTGTCTGGCCGGGGTTTGGGCGTGGAGGTGTGACTGTCGTGGTGGTAGTTTGGAAATATTGTCATGTGGGCTGTGGAGATTCAACAGCACATTCAGCATCATCCAGTCACTAGTTTTGGTCTTTGGTCAGGGCTGAGAGAAAGGCCTCCTGTTCCTAGATCACAACTCAGCCCTACTGTGGGGCTTCCTGACACCCTACCCCATCACTGGGGCAGAGGCCAGGAGCTCAGTCCTGTTGTTCCAGGAGGTCAGGCTTGGAG